GATTCATCTTTTGTCTTTTTTTTTTTTTTAATTCAATTAACGCAGAAATTTTCATTGATTTTGCTTTCTCCATTCAATTGCATCTGTTCAGTTCTAGGGTTTTGCAGTGTCGCTTCTGTCTTTGACCTCCATCTTCTCTATTCCGGTTCGAAATGCTTCAACACCAGATAGTGCAGTCGCCGGCGAGGCTCGGCCTCACGAATCCCAATGCTCCCTCTCTTCAGACCTCTACTCCTCCCAGATTCCCATCTTCTCAACAACCATCGCAACAGCAGCAGCAACAGCAGCAGCAGCCGTCTCAGCACCCCATCCACGCCAATCTCTCCGCCCCTGCCGCCTCCTCCAATCTCCTCTCCTATCTCCCTCCACTCCCCAGAGCTCAAGTCCTACTCCTTCAAATGGCTTCTTCAGTCTCCAAACTCTTCGAAGTCTCCCCTAATCGGTCCCTTTGGCTCTCCGCCTTCCGGGGTTCTTTCCCGACTTTCCTCTCTTCGCAAATCCAATCACACCCACCACCCCCACTTGAATCTACTCCCACTTCCATCAAAGAAGTCATTGCCTTGTTTACTTCCCTTCAAACCCATCTCTTCGAAGCTGTTGCCCAACTCCAGGAAATCCTTGATCTACAGGATGCCAAGCAGAAATTTGCCCGGGAAATTAAGTCTAAAGATGCTTCACTTCTTTCATTTGCTAATAAACTGAAAGAGGCAGAACGGGTTCTTGATATGCTTGCTGATGATTATTCTGATTATCGGCGGCCTAAGAGGTTGAAACCGGATGAGGATGGTCTGGACGATGATGATTCGTCTTCTTCTACTACTACTACTGTTGCGTCTCAATTGAAGTTGTCAGATATTTTGTCATATGCTCACAGGATTAGTTATACCACTTTTGCACCGCCAGAGTTTGGTGCTGGAGAGGCCCCTCTTCGTGGGGCACTCCCACCTGCCCCTCAGGAAGAGCAAATGCGTGCTTCTCAGCTATACAACTTTGCTGATCTCGATGTTGGTTTGCCTAAAACGGTTGAGTCTAAGGAGAAAACTATTGAGCCATTCATGGAGCCGCCACCTCCTGTGGATGCTGATCCACTTTCACAATTGAAGGCCGCTCTTAAAGTTCCCCCAGGCTGGAAACCTGGGATGCCTGTGGATTTGCAGGATTTGCCATTACCATCGTCACTACCATCTTCACTACCCCCGTTGGAGTCTTTCCCTGGGCGACCTATTCCCCCTCCAGTATTGCAGAGGCCACCTGAAACCATTCAAGTTAGACATGTTGACCTGGAAATTGGGGATACTGATGATGACAGCAGTGACTATAGTGGTGATGAGTCAAGCTCTGATTGATAGGGGAATTGTTTGGATCTTTGATAGTTTGAAACTCAATTCAGTGCACTAGCAGATGGCAAATCATTACTTTTCGAAGAAAAGAGGGTAGTTTGAGTTCCATTTGATGCTTTCTTTTATCTCAGATAATAAATGATGCACTGCATTGGATGTATGAGTAATCTCTTTGCATTCAACATACATTGCTTTTAACGGTAATTTCACTGCATTCCTTGGCCTGACCAACATGTAGACCTTTAACAGTAATCTCATTGCATTCCTTGAAATTTAAGTGTTTCCTTTGATGTTTCTTGATGGAAATTCAAAAGTTACGTTTCTTTACTCATCACATTTGGTAGGGTATTGTCAAATGCAAATAAATAGTGGATGATGATAGGATAGGAAAGCAAGTATTTTTCAGTTCTTAATTAGGCATCAAATTTTTGCCTGTGGAGGTTGTTGGGATCTATCAGTATTTGGGTTTGTTTTGATATTATTATGAGTTTAGTGCTAGGAATCTATGATAGTTCATGGTTGCTTATGCTAAGAACTTTGTTTGCAGATTGAAATCATGGTAGCAGTATTCACACCACTGACACTTCAAAAAGAAAAAGAACGGAGATACCTGAACTAGAGAAGTGAATATGTATGTAGGATACTGTGCTTTAATGACTGAAATGAATAAGCGATACACTAAACATGATTTGTGTTAAACTTAATAAATGGGTCATGTATCAGATGATACTTCATTGTGATTCAATTGTTGTAAATTGATTGGCATTCAAAGGTGTAATCAACTCTCTTTAAAGGGGAGCAACATGCTTCCTTGATAGTTTTGGAAGAGTTTCTTGAATAAAATGTCATGTCTCAAGAAAATAGTATAGAACTGTAACTTAAGTAACTCTAATGGAACACATTGCAGAACAAGGTAAGGAATAATAGTACAAATATTTATCTCTTATAAAAATAAAAAAATGACAATTAATTTTAGATACATTAAGAATAAAAAAATTTATTTGGAGACCAATAGAGTAAAGTTAAAATAAAAAGGGAAAATATTAGAATGCACCCTAAAATTGATAAAAACAAAATTTTAATAGAAAAGTATATCATGGGACCCCTATAGAATAAAATTAGTGCACTGAAAGACATCTTGACCACTTCCAAAATTTTTTTTTTTTAAAAAAAAAGAAGACATGTACCATGGCAGAACAAGAAAATTTAGGGAATTATCTCTTCCTCAGAGCCTCTTAAGCATCGGCCCCATAGTCTATATGGTTGGAAAAAATCTCCAACTCATTGGGTAGTTTTGATTGAATTTTTAGCTTTACTAAACATAGAGCAACCTCAAGGGTTCAGAGACTGAAAATAACAACCATACAAATCGTCATATGATGTGCTAACATTTGAGAGTTATGTAACATTGACCCGTTTCAGTTGTCCCCCATTAAAAAAAAAAAAACAGTAAAATAAAAAGAGAGACGTTGACTTCTCTATCAGAGAGGCATTCCTATTGAGACTTTCAAAGGGTGGTGGGGAGTCTCTTTGGAGTCTCTCTGTTGGAGTTGCGTTTACTCACCACCACCCACCGACTTCAAACATGATTTTGTTGACCGTACTGCCTTCATTGGTCCTTGAACTTTCTCATTTCGTGCCAAAATATCCCATAACTTCTTTTGGTACTTTTTGCCCCTCAACTCTTCATTTTGGGACCAAAATGATCCTTTCTTTTGTTAACTTATGCAGTTTCTTGGATTTGGGTGTGTTTGAGACTTACAAGGTTTTGTTTGCTATTGTTGTTCTTAGGGAAACAAGTAGCGTTTGATTATATGGCTTGGATTGTAGAGGGGTACTTGGTTGTATGGTTGGTTCAACATGAGTGAAAAACACTTGTTTGTCTTCTTTTTGGATATGAAGAGATTTAACATTGAGATGGTCTAGAATATTGTTTTGTGGATGGAGTGGAGCAATCTATGGTTTTGTAGTGTGATGTAGCCTATTCAAGGATCAGGCTTGGGCACATAAGGGGAGGAAGAAGAGACTTCACCAAATTATTGAACATGAGAAGGTGCATATTGCTATATAAGTTCAATATAGCAACTAATTTGAAGTACACCTTTCCAAAATAGTTTTTCACCTAGAGCGTCATTTTAGGAGAAATGTGTACCTTTGCTAGTAAGAAATTTAGAGCTCTTGGAAATGCGTTAGCACGAAATTCAAGTTTTTCCTCTTGCTTGTTTAGACTTGGCACCCCTGTCCTGTTTTTATGTAGAGATGGATTTTGCCATCCCCCTCTACTCATTATGTATAAAGTATGTTATAATGTTAAAAAATTTCCACCAAAATTCTAAAAGAAAAAAAATCCACCATATTCCCCAACTTCTAAATTCTAAAGGTGTTAGACAAGAGGAAAATAAATGAAAAAAGCATATTTCAGCAAAGCCATATGATTGGATTAGCACCTCATCTTACCATAAGCAACATTCTGCCTGACGGTATGAGGCAATAGCTCCATGTACTGGTATCTTCAGATATACAACGAAGCTATTGCGTCCAGAAAAGTAACAAACTTTTAGACAAGGAACTAACTGTATTTTTTATGAAAAATACATGTCATCAACCTCTAGAAGCCTGCTGCCACGGGTTTTGAACTTGTTACTTTGTTTAAGGCAAAGCATTAAAACAAGTCATCAGAGAATTACTCATATGTAATTGCCATTGCTGCATATGTTGTGTCAAGAAAAAGCTTGTGAAAATCACAGGTGAAGATGCCAATGGGGTGAACTCTTTACAATATTAATTGAATTTCTACATCCAAGGAGAAAAGGAGTCCGTAGAAGGAAAAATTAATCAGTACAGAAACAAATAAGCAAATTTATGAACTCTAACAAATTAATTTATGCCAACCTGTTCTTCAAGCATAGGAATCTCTTCAATGTCTTCTGAGGTAACTACGCCTGCGAACTTTAGTCTTTCGTTCTATTCCTGTAGTAGGACCATCAAGAAGGAATAAATTATTGGGGGGACAGTTCAATAACAAATAACATGGTTCTAAAAAATTGAACAGGATGAGAAATGAGAATGCAAAAGAATTCCTTTGAAACAGTGAAGTTGATTTCACTACAATACCTACGCTGTGAGGAGCTCATCCTTCTTTGAGGAAACAACAGTTCTATTTTTTTATGATGGTAAACTAAAATTCGATTTAAGATGACACGTTTTAGAATAACCATATGATTTTGTAGCCATTCATACAGTTCTGCCTTCTAAGTAAATAAAAAGATAATATCTAGAGATATATCCAAATGATCAATTTGTTCCAACTAGGGGTTCACAAAAGCCACCTTTTAACCTTCCAGCTCGATATAAAGCTTCTTCTGCAATGGGTCTCCACTGTTCAGCACACGAGTAGTTAATTCCAAGACCAACACTAAGTCCTCTCAGAAGATGTACTGTGCGAAGAACAGAAAACAATTCCTCTGGAAAAGCCTGCATAGCCAAATCAGAACTATAAAGTTTTATATTTATAAGCAGACAAGAATATCATCCAGCTTTTTTGATGCTTCTGCTAGTATTCAAATCCAAGCTCTAAGCCTTATCCTCACTCTTCGGCTACTTAGCCAAACAAAAAAGAAACAAATTTTGCTCAATTTAATAGGTAATTTGACAAACAAACACAAATTAATAACATTGCTAGGTAAAGTTAGGGCTCAGTATACCACAAAAGGCAAAAGAGAGAAAGAATCACATGAAACAGGATACCCAGCATAAAAAAATAAAAGAATAATAAAAAAAGAGCCTTTGAAGATGTACATTACGAATATGAAACTCTACATCTTGTTTTGTTTGTTCTAGGTTTTTGACACAAAATTCATTATGAAACACAGCCAAGAAAAGGAAAAAATTTATCCTTTCAAAATAATAACAGAAATATTTAATTTCTTCTTCTGTGAAATCATCTAAGTAATCAACTCTATAGTTAGGGTGTTAGGAATAGGAACATCAGAATTCTTATCTGGAATGAAGCAATATGCTACAGGCCTACAGCTTTTGATAATCCAATATCCTCCAAACTATCATATACAAGAAAAACTATCATTACTGCAAGAGAATCCTGTAAGCAACACTTCTTGCTCCCGACAATCACATAAAACTATGAACAAATGAAAAAGATCAATTTGTAAATTCTTTTCCTGCAGTAGTAATTTTTAGTTGAAGGGAATGTTTATTGCTTACCTGTACAGAAATTTTCTTAATTGAAGATTCTTCAGAGAAAGGTTGTAGCATTGCTACTCCAGGAGGTAGTTTTGTATCAAACATTGTCTGTGCCAAACGAAGCATCTCCTGTTGTTCATTAGGACATTTGCTTACTGTACTTATGCCAAGCTCCCTAAAAATGGGATTAAAAAGATATCAATCCAAATAAGATATACTGAAATGTAAGGATGTAAATATCAAACAGGGGAATGATCAATTTTCTCACTGTAATTTAGACCTGAATACAAACAATCTCTGGCCAATTTAGCCACAGTATCACTTCTTTTCTTGGAAACAAAGTGACTTTTACAGGTAAAACCTATTGTAAAGTTACCAAAAGCATTTATTTAGTTACCTATAGCTTTCCATTGCTCTCACAGGATCATTATCAGCAATGGCAACAATCAAATTGGCATATCCAAGCCTCAACTGGTCAGGGAGATCCTTCACTTGCCCGTAGTCCAACAGAGCAACCTAACTTAAGAAGAAAAAGGATATCAATGAAGCTAATAGTTGCACAATCAAGATGCAATGTTTGATAATTCTTAAACTAATCTAATTCCTATTTACCAAAAAAAAAAAAAAAACTAATCTAATTCTTGCTAATGTCATGTCTATTTCAAAAGTTGTATTTCTCTCTTATATTCTAACCAGTCATGAGCATGATATGTAATTTAATAGGCTAGACAGGAAATACAAATTATGAAAAGGAAAGGCCTATAAAGAAACAAATGGTGGTAGCCCACTTGCCTCTGAACCTTTACAGATCAATATATTTCCGGGATGAGGATCAGCATGGAAGAACCCACTCTTTAGTATCATCTGTCCGTATGCCAGTGTCAAGCTCTTAAGTATGTTCCTGCATGTAGAAAAGTTTGAACAAGCATGAAATGCCCTATCTTGACAAACATCATACTGCTTAGAAAGGAGCTGAGAGAAAGGGATAGGAATAAATAAGTGTATGAAAGTCCTTTTTCTCTTTATGGGGAGGGAAAAATCTTAAAGTGATCATTAGTCGTGTGCAATAATACAGGAAAGGAATCTAAAAATTTTGAGTATAAAAATGACAAGTTCCAGAAAATGAAAAAAAGGTCAGAATAAGGACTACGAAAAATAAACTCCATACTCTCTAGGACAACTAGATGCTTACTGCTTTGCTGTTGCTGCCATCTTACCAGCAGGATTTATACCTCTTTTTGCTATTTCATTCCCAAGATTCAGGATTGGGATCCCATCAATGTATTCCATCACTAAGACCCTCCTGTTTAAATAGATGAACATTCTACTTAGGTGACAACAGTAATAATGAGGAAGCATAAGCTATTGACAAAGAAAAATAGAATAAATCCGCTGAATTCACCCTGCCTGTTGAAAACATTACTTAAACTCAGCCTAAAAACAAATACTAAATAGCAAAATTTATTGATACTGAGAATAGCAAATGAATTCTTAGTCTAATGGTGAATAGAAAAAAAAAAAAAATAGAGTCTTAGTCCAGTAGCCAAAACACTGCTTGAAGTCCTTCTGAAATTGTTTATGATCAAAATCCCTTAGCTCAGTTGTGGGCTTGAAGTAGATAATGAGAGGGACATTCAGCAGACAAAATAGAAAGGT